TGCAGACCCACACCCAGGGTCTTAAATTATTGGGCAGGCTTGTAGCCGTCTCTGTTGTATTGCAGGCTCAAACACGTTCCTCGTCCCGGATACTCTGTTTGCGTTCTTGGTGACCAGCAGCACGTTGAAGAGGCTAGAGCTAACAACATTCCGGCCATGGACATCGAGGAACTCAAAAAATTGAATAAGGACAAGAAGCTTGTCAAGAAACTAAGTAAGTGACCTTCCGTTTGGTTTCATTATCCTAGGCAAGAAATACAACGCTTTTCTCGCAAGCGAGGGCGTTATCCGCATGATTCCGCGCATCCTGGGTCCAGGTCTTAATAAAGCCGGCAAATTTCCAACTGTTGTCTCTCACACGGAGCCGCTTGTGCAGAAGGTTGAGGAAATTAAGGCTACTATCAAGTTCCAAATGAAGAAAGTTCTCTGTTTGGGTGTAGCCATTGGCAATGTTAAAATGTCCCAGGAGGAGATCCAGCAGAACGTAACCCTTGCGATCAACTTCTTGGTGTCCCTGCTTAAGAAGAACTGGCAAAACGTGCGTGCCCTGTATATAAAGAGCTCCATGGGTCCGGTTCACCGTATTTACTAAATACATGCCCCTTTTGGAAACAGTATTTTCTTCTTCTCTTTAGCAACGTAGTATTCCGCCAGATACTATTTTCGGGATTTTCGCGTTTTGCAAATGCTTAGGCTAAGTGAGATACCTAACGGTGTGCGACTGAGCCTCAGTTGCGGGCGTACGAAAAGCACCTGTGCTGTTTTTTCTGTTCCAGCGTGGAACTTTAGTTTCTTTTGGGTCGCTCTTGCGAACCATTGTCCCGCGCACGTCCCCCCATCGTGACGGGCTTGCACTTCCTATGGTTGGGATAAGCGTGCGTTTCAGTTTATGACAGGTCACGTAAGCGGTCTGTCCTAATGGTGTCGATTTCCTCATAAGGTGCAGTGTATATCGGGTCAGTCGAGAAAAGTGCCCGAACAAATATGGTGCACTGGACACGTCGCCTGCATACTGGGTTTGCGCTTTTGGGCGGAGGAACGTGTTGTAGCTAATTGTTGCATCATGTGTCCTCGCCAGAATCCAAACTGGTAGTAGTTGGTAGAGAGAGAAGAGCAAAGACCTCGATCGGCGTGAGCCAAAGGTCCGCAAGGGTGATCCGGGTGCCTAGCCGGGAACTGAAAAGCTAACAGTGCTGACAATCATGCAGAGAAACGCTGCAGTCGGGACAGCAGTCAGATGTGGATGGGTCGAGCCGGTGTTGGTACTGGCGGAGGGCCACTGCGTAATTGAGGCAGAGTACAGCGAGTAACCCGCGGGAGTTGTTGTTCAGAGACTATAATCGGAGGTGGATAGCCGCCCAAGAGGAGCGGGGAGTGGTGACGTCGTTTTTCCTCTGCAACGGCCCTCTGAAAACGCTGGAGGCCTGTCTTGGTGACAGAGCAATCAACGCGTAGAACGGAGGGAGACGAGGCAACAGGTTCCT